GTGGGGTGGCACTGGCACTGTCCCATGGATGTGGGCGGCCTTGGGCTGGCACCGGCGCCGTCCCCACGGGGAGGGGAGCCCCGGCATGGCCCTCGGCTGGCACCGTCCGGTGCCCGTGGTGACACGGTGCCCCCGGTGACACGGTGTGTGCCCGCGGTGACACGGTGTGTGCCCGCGGTGACACGGTGCCCCCGGTGACACGGTGTGTGCCCGCAGGCGGTGGCAGAGCTGGGCTGGGCAGTGCCCACGGCCGTGCAGGCCCGTGCCATCCCGCTGGCCTTGGAGGGCAGGGACGTGCTGGCACGGGCCAGGACGGGCTCGGGGAAAACGGGCGCCTACGGCCTGCCCCTGCTGCACAAACTGCTGGGCATCAAGGAGGTGAGTGACACAGGGGCACGGGGGGCATGGGGGGCACGGGGGGCATTGGGGGCACGGGGGTGACCCCATTGTCCCCTGTGTGTCCCTGCTGGTGCCCCCGGCCGTGCGGGCACTGGTGCCCAGGCCGGGCATGGCAGATGTCCCTGAGGTGTCCCTGGTGTCCCCAGACTGGCACCCCTGGTGCCCCCATGTCCCCACTGTCCCCAGTGTCCCCATTGATGTCCCCTCTGTCCCGCAGGCGTCCCCGGCCGTGCCGCAGGCCGTGCGGGCGCTGGTGCTGGTGCCCACGGCGGAGCTGGCACGGCAGGTCGGGCACACCCTGCGCCGCCTCGCCGCCTTCTGCGCCCGCCAGCTGCGCGTGGCCGAGCTCTGCGGCCACTCGGAGCTGGCCGAGCAGCGGTCAGTGTCCCCTGCTGTCCCCTGGTGTCCCTTGGGTGTCCCCCAGTCCCCCTGACCTTCCCTGAGTGTCCCCTGGGTATCCCCAAGTGTCCCTGACCCTTCCAGTGTCCCCTGGGTGTCCCCTTGATGTCCTGGGTGTCCCCTGGGTGTCCTGGGTGTTCCTGGTGTCCCTGGGTTTCCCCTGGTGTCCCCAAGTGTCCCCCAGCTGTCCCTAAGCGTCCCCTGGGTATCCCCAAGTGTCCCTGACCCTCCCAGTGTCCTCTGCTGTCCTCT